ATTTGACAGCTGAAGCACCGCCCCACATATTTAAATTTTGACAGTTGAAGCCCCTCCCACTACCTTCCAGTTTGACAGATTGTATATAGTTTCTTCTCTGGTATATGGACATTGTAATAGGACTCTTAGTATATTGGAGTCAGTGATCCCAATGGCACCACTGATCCCCTATCTCTATAGTCTAACCCTTTACAGATGCCATTAACATTCAAATATGTCAGGAAAAATATAGTTGTAAATTGTAAATCTGTATATTTCATAGTTCCTCCGATACGTCTACTCTGTGTATAAATATGGGGAATGCAGAATCATTTTCAGAAATATAGAAAGCCTGAAGAAGGGATCTAAGGCCTCTGTAAGCTGCATCTTTAATAAGTTAAGTTATCCAGTACAGGGGGTCTCTTCAACTCTAAACTTTCTGCATGAATTAATGGCTGACCCAGTACAATATTCTACTATGGCCGGCTGTGATATGTGGAACAGTCCATGATAGTGTCTTATATTTCAATAATATGGCACTTACCTGATTCGTCATCTTCCTTCTACGTACTGGATAAACAGGGGCAAATTCTGCAGAGAACTGCCCAGATGCCCCACACAATTGCACAATTGTAACAAAATAATCAAAGTTTGTGTCCTGAGAAGCCTCATTACATCTTGGTGACATCAGTGACACTCTATAGGCTCAATTCATAAAGCCAATACACCAGAAGGTGCTTTTTTTCCCCCCTGTGTGACAGTGACTGTTACTTTCAGCTCAGTTCAGCAAAATGTGAAATTGGCAGTCACATGTCTGCACATAAAGATCCTTATCCTTGTGCTAAAGCTATTGGGCCTTATGTGTATTACATGTGACAATCAGGACAAGGATAGGAAGATAAAGCCATTGGCATAGAATGTAGCCTGGTGGCTGAGCCCCCATGACTCTGTGCTGCAAGAACACACTAATTGGGATGACTCGGTGTGTCAGTCATTGACAAACTTTCATTGAACTGATTCAAAGTGGAACGGAGTGAGACCGGATTTTTCTTTTACTTTAGACCAGTGAATGCACTGAAATTGTTCTAATTGGCTGGGGCTGTTTAAGGGAACCCAGGCTGGTAACCTTATGTATGGCTGATGCAAGTTGCTCAAGGTCCAATGCATGTCCATACTGTATAAATAAGGAGTAAAGTAGTATCCTTACTAGGGATGCACCGATACCGGTATTTTGGTACCGAGTACGAGTACCGATAAAAAAAATTTCGGTACTCGCCGATAGTAATTACTGAGTACCGGAAGTCCCATTCAGGAAGCCAGGTGGCGTGTAATGACTCGGCACCTGGCTTCCTGATTAGCCGGGCAGCATGTAAAGACTCGCCACCCGGCTTCCCGATTAACAAGAAAGTCCCCTCTTACCTTTGTGTGTCCAGCCTGTCACCCCAGGGGCCTCTCCAGCCAGAACGCGGAGCTGTCTGGCCGGCCAATCAGGAAGTCGGGCGCCGTGTAATGACGCGACGGCCTGCTGTCTGATTGGCCGGGAGGCCGGCTCCATGCTCCCTCGTCATGAGATCTTAGTTTAAAATGGCTTTCAGTGCATTCCAGGGTGTTTGCATGCGTTTTTGATGCATTTGCATGCGTTCCAGAGCAGGTAAAATAGGGCCTGCTGCAGTTTTTTTACCTGCTCTGGAACGGAATGTGAACTGGAGCTAAAAATACCATTGGAATACGTTGGACGCAGTTTTGCTCCGGTCTGTAACTGCTCTGCTCCTGGAACGTGCTTGGTGTGAAATCAAAAGTGGCAGAGAATTCCTACCTGAACGGAGGAGGGAGCAACTCCAGAAGGGGTTAAAGATAACTGAGACGTGCTGAAATACAGGCAGGAGGCAGTTTTCAGGACTATCTGTTCACTCTGATAAAATAAAAAGTTTTGTATTCATGAAAACAGGCCAGGATCTGTAATTAAGGAGATTCCCAACTTATTTTCACAAATTAACTACCGTATTTTGCGCTCCATAACACACACCTGACCATAAGATGCACCTAGGGAGGGTAGGGTTCTGTGTAGTTCCTCACAGCTGAGACCTCGGTTCCCCACAGCTATCACAGCCCTCTCAGGCTGCACACTGTGTGCAGCCTGTGTGCAGTGTGCAGCCTGAGAGGGCTGTGATAGCTGCTGGGGGCTCGATATTGAGAGAGGAACGGACATCCCACGGCGTTGACCGGGGAATACAATACTCTTGAATCTACTTCCAATCATTTACTAGCACTGGTTATCTCCGTCATCTCTTAATTCGGTCTGCCTCTGCTGGGGTTCAGGGCCTCCACCCTTCCTTCTTCCCTCTCCCTTGCCCCCCTCTCTATGCTCCTATACTCACCATCTCACTGTCTGAGCCGCGTCAAACCATTGGGACGCACACAGACTCCAAGGACAACCTCCCTCTCCTTCTCCTGAAGAAGCGCTATTTAGCGCGAAACGTCACGTTGAGAAAACCAAGCTCCTCCAACATTATTCTGTCATACCAATCATGTATTTTGTCAATGAATTTTCTGTCTGTCATGTTAATCAATCATGTCTCATTTTATAATTTTCTGAGTGTAATCTCATGTATGAAGAACCTAATCATTGTGGAGTGAGCTTATAGGGGAATCATGTCAATTTTATGAAATTATCTTCACTTTTTTAATTATATTAAATAAAATAATATTTTTCTAAACAACGTTTGGTCTGAAAGTTGTCAGCTGCCCAAAAAACCCCAGCTTTCTATTTTGTGCCATAATGGAAACCAGTGGGATTTTGAAGGCAGGCTTTGACTATTGGGAAAACTCTACCCATCCACTGTCAGAGGGTGGTGGGGGCAGGGGGGTTAAGTGAAGATAGGTGAAGGCTTCCACTTTATCTGAAACTAAATTTAGGGCGTACCTGTGCTTCTTTTTAATGATTTATTTTGTAATTTAAATATTCCCTCGTTGGGGTGGAGTGGGGCCCCATTACCATACTCTGGGTAATGATTCTCACTGTTGTGGTGTATGTGTATAGGCCAATGTAGTTGGATCTGTATGTGCGATCTGTAAGTTATCGAAATTAATCGATTAAAAAAAAATTCAATTGATCGAACACGAAAATTTTAATCAGTACCAGCCCTAGCAAATATATATATATATATTTTAACTAAAATCAGTGCAAAATAATAATCAAAATATAACTGGTGACAACAAAGACTATGGATCAAAATTGCAATAATTTTGATCAACAAGATAATAATAAAAATAAAACCACAGGATATAAATTCAAATCTTAAAGAAACAAAACAAAATAACTCCTGGAATGCAATTAATAACTTCTCAGTAGCTAAATAGAATGTGACAAAATAATGTGCAGATTCAATACGTGACCTCTCCCAGCCAAACAGATGTTCACAAGCTCACATTTCTACTGCGCATGAACTAACGCATAATACTATGCACAGGACTGGCGATCAGCCAAGAATCTATTTAACGTAAAGATAAACTTCCACTAAATGATGTTATTTTTATGTAAACCACATAAACCATCGACTAGAAACTGAAATCGCTTGTAATAGCCAATAGCAAACTGGCTCCTGCATCGGCCCTCTGCTACTGTCAGTCAGCAGAGCAGGACCTGATGGAGTACTTCAGGTCCCCCTCTGCTGATTGACAGCAGCAGTGGGCAGGTGCAATAGCTGGTCTGCTATTGGCTATTGCAAATTGAAATAGCCAATAGCAATCCAGCCTATTTATTCCTATGCTGTTTTTGTGTTTTTTTTCTGACTGACGGTGACTGGAGAGCCAAGGTTGCCTACCCCTGTGCTAGACAGAGAGAGTAAACCTTTCCGGGAGAAAATGTCCGGGAGCCGCCATACAATAGCGGGAGACTCCCGGAACGTCCGGGAGAGTTGGGATGTCTGCTTACACCGGACCTGTGGTCAGGTGCAAGGCTTTAGCCAATCAGGGCTCACAAGGCACTGTGCAGTGCGCAGTGCCTTGTGGGGAGCTCGGCGGGATATTCGCCGATGTTATATACATCGCTGATGATATATATTATACAGTCACTCCATATACCACACATATCAAATACACTGCAGGATGGATTTATCAAAGCTGGAGCAGAGAAAATCTGGAGCAGTTGCCCAGGGCAACCGATCAGCCTCTCTTCAGTTTGTTTAGTTAAGATTTGAAAATGAAAGAGAGAAGCTGATTGGTTGGCCTAGGCAATTGCTCCAGATTTTGTCTGCACCAGTTTTGATAAATCCCACTTTTCAGTAAAGCGCTGCATGACGGAATAAACATCAGTCAAAGTACGGCAGCGCTGAATACTGAAAAATGGCCTGGCCAGGAAGGGGGTGAAACACTATGGCCTTCAAGTATTTAACCATTTGCCAAAAAAAAAAAAGTCCCCGGATTTCATTTTAAACATCTGGTCATCTTACCCTGCGCCCTGAGAATGAGGCCTCAAGGGTTTCTGTAATAAATCTATAGCTATGAAGGATTTGTTTTGCTGTGATTTTGGTACTTTGAGAACCGTACCCCATCATATGAATCAGGTGATTAAACAGTGATGACACTTTCACTCATTTATACAGTGATGCTGATCACAACCAGCACAATTTCTAGCCAAATGTTTAATGAAAAAGCAACCGAGAGGTGAATTTATCTATTTAACTTGAGCAGACAGAATTCAGAGCAGTTTCCCATTGTAACAATCAACGTCTTTCATTTATAAAGCTTAATTTAACAAACTGAAGAGAGAAGCTGATTGGTTGTCAGGAGCAACTGCTCCGGATTCGGCCTGTGTTCTGTTACTTCTAACGAAACCGGAAGTCAGGTCATTGGAGATCTCGACGAGTTGGAACTTTCGATAGAACACTTGCTCTAGTTTTGTCTGTGCAGGGGGGGAGCGTTTCCTTGTGTATGATCAGAAGCACACACACAGCCATATTAGGTATAGGCTGGGCCGACTGGGCGCCCCTACGTCATCAGTGGGCGGAGCCAGGCGAGGAATGCGGCGAAGACAGCCGACTACACTCTACTGTACAGCCGGGGCGGCAGCTGGGAAACACCGCGGCTTGGACTGAGGCCTTCGTCCTGGAAATGGGAGAGACCGGCGTCGAGAAGGTCAGCGCTAAAGTGTGTCTGGGTTGTAGAAACGGATTTAATAGGCTATTGTGGCGGCATGAAGGGGCTGGGCACTGACACGATGCTGTTTGAATGATGTCCTTAGTACAGGGACTCTGTATTCATCGACAGAATGAGTCAGGTGTCGGGTGAATGAAATGGTGTCATGTGTCCCCTGAATATTTCATATCTTCTGTTCCCACAGAGCCCCGTCCGGACAGAATGACATGAGTCTGTGTCCAGACAAAACTTCTAGTCATGGAGGGTTGGAGCCTCTGCCATGTAAATATTGTGTCTGTGTCCCCATCGGGAGAGACTTCTCACTTCCTGTCCCAGCCAGCAGGACAGGGAATTCCCCCCCCCACCTGGACAAACCATAATATATTTATCATACACCTTATGACTAATTGAACAAGGGACATGTGATGGGAAAGCAGAGTGCTTATTGTCTATGTCCAGCCAAAACTTTTTTCTTAGCTTTGAGTACAGTGGGAAAGTGTTAGAACTCCTGTCATGCTTTTTCTGCTATGCAGTTTCCGTTGGAGAGATTTACCCCTACTTCCTGTCTGGCTGACATTTAGCCAGGCAGGAAGTGAGGGGAAAGCTCCAAGGGCAACACGGACAATAATGCTTTTTGCATTGGTGTCCCAGTTACAGATCTTCCTTCACTTTCTGTCTGGTGAAAACCATTGTCATCAGGAGAGGAAGTGAAACGAAATCTCTTAACAGAGACCCAGATAGCAATAAACACCTGACAGGGGTTCTAATCTTCTCCCACTCTATCCAAAGCTGTATGTCTTTATGTTTAAAATGTATGTCTGTATCTGAAATCGTGCGCATCTGTTTAATGGATGAGATTGGCCAGCTGGTTACCATTGATAAAATGGTAGAGATATGTGTCGGGGGTCACCATTGTCCTCCACTTAGGACTGTGAACTGCACAGGGAAGAGTTCTTCAGAGACACAAGCATTTTCCACCAAGATGGATGACAAGGCCAGGGAGTGCCCGGTACCAATTTACTAAGGATGCACCGAACTTTCTGCTGCTGAAACATTTCTGCCAAAAATGGTTTTATGGGCAAAATGGCAATATTACCAAAACAGCCAGAAATGTGGTGCATCCCGAGCTTCCCTCCTCCCCACTGGGTGCTGGTCTGTGTCCCTCCTAATTTCGCTGCGCTCCCCCGGCTGTGCAGGCAGTGGGGATCTGAGGGGACACAGAGCCGATCTAGCTGCCAACGCCCAGCAGGGAGAAGAGAAGGTGTCAGGAGGCTGAACAGTCCGGGAGAAGAGAACTGTCAGGATGCAGAGTGGGCTGGTGCGGGAGGAGAGAGCTGTCAGGATGCCGAGCGGGGTGGTGTGGGAGGAGAGAGCTGTCAGGATGCCGAGCGGGGGGGGGTGGGAGGAGAGAGCTGTCAGGATGCCGAGCGGGGGGGGGTGGGAGGAGAGAGCTGTCAGGATGCCGAGCGGGGGGGGGTGGGAGGAGAGAGCTGTCAGGATGCCGAGCGGGGGGGGGTGGGAGGAGAGAGCTGTCAGGATGCCGAGCGGGGGGGGGTGGGAGGAGAGAGCTGTCAGGATGCCGAGCGGGGGGGGGTGGGAGGAGAGAGCTGTCAGGATGCCGAGCGGGGGGGGGTGGGAGGAGAGAGCTGTCAGGATGCCGAGCGGGGGGGGGTGGGAGGAGAGAGCTGTCAGGATGCCGAGCGGGGGGGGGTGGGAGGAGAGAGCTGTCAGGATGCCGAGCGGGGGGGGGTGGGAGGAGAGAGCTGTCAGGATGCCGAGCGGGGGGGGGTGGGAGGAGAGAGCTGTCAGGATGCCGAGCGGGGGGGGGTGGGAGGAGAGAGCTGTCAGGATGCCGAGCGGGGGGGGGTGGGAGGAGAGAGCTGTCAGGATGCCGAGCGGGGGGGGGTGGGAGGAGAGAGCTGTCAGGATGCCGAGCGGGGGGGGGTGGGAGGAGAGAGCTGTCAGGATGCCGAGCGGGGGGGGGTGGGAGGAGAGAGCTGTCAGGATGCCGAGCGGGGGGGGGTGGGAGGAGAGAGCTGTCAGGATGCCGAGCGGGGGGGGGTGGGAGGAGAGAGCTGTCAGGATGCCGAGCGGGGGGGGGTGGGAGGAGAGAGCTGTCAGGATGCCGAGCGGGGTGGTGCGGGAGGAGAGAGCTGTCAGGATGCCAAGCGGGGTGGTGTTGGAGGAGAGAGCTGTCAGGATGCTGAGCGGGGTGGTGTGGGAGGAGAGAGCTGTCAGGAGGCTTACTGGGCTGGTATGTGAGGTGAGAGCTGTCAGGATGCCAAGCAGGCTGGTGCAGGAGAAGAGAGCTGTCAGGATACCGAGTGGGGTACTGTGGGAGAAGAGAGTTGCCAGGATGCCGAGCGGGGTGGTGTGGGAGGAGAGAACTGTCATGTTGTTTGCTGTATGGTTGAAGGTGACTCTGGTGATTTGTATGTGATCACCAGATCACGTGAGCACACACACACACACACACACACACACACACACACACAATAACCGGAGCAGCTCAAACTAATGAGTTATTATGCCATTAACCTCAGTTTGAAGACAATGAAATCATATCTTGCTCTTTCACATTGCAATGTTATGTTTCGGTACAGCCTGAGATACAGGAGCGCACTCTGAGATAACACTTTCTACCAACAAAAGGCATATTTCCTCACATTTTTTGCCATACCATCTATTAAAATGCGTGATTAGATGTTTAATAAATGTTTTTTGGGGGGTTTTTGCAGATGAATTCGGAAAATCTACGAGAAGATGGTAACAAGCACTTTAAATCTGGGAACTATGAAGCAGCAATATTGTGTTATACAAATGCAATCAAAATATCTAGCGATAAGCAGGATGCAGCGGTACTACACCGAAACCGAGCCGCCTGCCACCTGAAACTGGTGAGTTCAGAAGACCGGGTATTTCCAATCCATCCATTTCTTCATGAACTTCCAGAAGCTAGAAAGAATTAAAGCACAATGTTCCTTTTTGGTTTTGGCCAGGGATGGAGGAGTTATAAAGTAGCGTTGGGGACATTTTCCTTTACTTCCTATTGCTCACCTTGAGAGGAATTGAGTAAAATCTCTCCAAAAAGGTAAAACAGTAATAAAACATTTTAGTTGAGAAGGGTGAGAATCTCTGTCGTGTTCTTATTGCACTCTCCATCATTCCTGTGTGGGTGCCAGGAACAGGTAGTGAGGTGAAATCTCCCTAGGAGGGACACCAACAGCCTTAAAAAAAAAATCTGACGTAAAACCATTTTTATCTCAAATCAAAAAATACCTTTTGGCTGGACCTGCCCATTAACCCTTTCGCTGCTAGTGACGTATGCAGTGGGCCCCTCTACACAGCCTCCCGAACCTCTTGAACTCCGACAGTCAGCTTTACACTGGAAGCGATTCTGGCAGCTGAGTTGCCGCCAGAATCGCTTCCAGGGGCCGATGAAGACCGCGCAACCATTGTCTGGGCTGATTGCATCACTTCCGGCTTCTCGCTGTCATTCCTCTGCTATAGAAGCCGGGGAAGAAGCTGAAAAAGCACGATCTATGCTTAATGCAAAATACATTTGACAATCCCCCCCAAAAAATTAAATTCCATGCCCCCGAACATGTGCATACTAACGTAAACACGCATCGAGTGAGTCTACATATGAAAACGACAATCGCACTACACATGTAAGGTATTGTCGCGTGCACCTTTGGCCGGGAGAAGAGGAGGAACACAGGGCAAGTCAATGCATGCAGCCCAGCAGCATGCACCCGCACAGACTCCGCGGGACACCGAAGACGCAGCAGTCAGCGCAGGATCAGAGACCGGCACCAGCGCTGGATGGACTCCTGAAAACTACTGGAAAGAAGAAGATGATCGGATCAAGAGGCATCATTAAAGGTACGTTCTTAAAGCAGCATGGGGGGGGGGGG